TACTCGCAACTTTCAACTCTTTAATGCCAAAAACACCGCATAGTAAATTAGTAAATACTAGCACTAAAAAACAACAGACTGTAATTCTGCATGATGGCTACAGATGGAGTTTAGGATTTGTTTTCCCATGTACTCTGATCTTTTGAAATAAGTAATCCTTTCTGATGCATCTTCTATTAAGGATTGTGAATATAAACATCACAAATGGGTATTTACTAAAGATTTAGTTATCGAAAGGCTCAGGCAAAGATCTGCAAAGCATCTAAGACCCCCACCCCCTAATTACTAAAACATATCATACACGGATCCATCCAGGGCTATGGCTCCAAGCATTCTCCATAATATCATCCTGGTTTAGCTGAGCAGCCTGTACATACCATGTGCACAATACTTAGTAATCACCATATCGAGTCTATACCCATATCATCTCAATTTTAAAGAGATGCTATATGTAGTGCAGTAGCATGGCCATTAAAATTCACCATTAAGTTGTCATGGCGATGGGGGGCTGCAATTTAATTAAATTTTGAAGCCAAAATAACAACAGATTATCATTGATGAAATTCATATACAACAATTCTACTTTTTGTGCAACGTGGTTAATAACGAAAGGCGTGTCAATTATACACAATAACAATTAAAATCAAACTTTAATTCTAATCAACCGACAAATGTTAAAATCACAAACCTAATCAGAATTCACTGCTACAGAAGCATTAATCAGTCTAAAGCACTGTCAAAATTGCTATTAATGACGCATTAATATTGTGGACATGTCTGGCTTTAAAAACTAGATCTACCCTCGAGATGGACTAAAGGTTATAGACAGCACTGGTGGGCCGAGGGGGACAATGTACAGAATACAAATCACGTTGAAAAAGGCAGTAGATTCCTGCAACTGAGACAATATCAGTGTAAATTATACTCAACTCTATAATGTAGAATTCTGCTTAGAATTCAATTCATACGGAAATAAAAGCGCTATGAAACACAATGACTTTACCATGGCAATGGCAACATTGGACATACGTGTTGAATGTGTATAGAAACTAAATATTTGGGACAGCTAGGTGCTGTGATTGACTTGATCATAGACCTAACTGATTGCAGTTGTCAGCGCTACTCCACACGCCTGTCATCAAAAGCCTGGCCATGCAAGGATTCCGGAACCTTGAAAAAATGGCATATTTAGAACATAAATAATGGGGACCGCTGTCAGAAGTGTGAAGAGTCTGCAACAGCTGTGGAGTGCCAAGTAGCGAAATATTCAGCTTCTGTGCTGCAGGGCTTCACCAGAGACTCTGTCAAAAAAAAAGCTTCCAATAACGCCTCATACAATAGTATAATTGTTTATTTTGATCCTGCTGACTTGGAATCATATGCTGCACTAAAACCTAACGACAAATCAAGTCAAGTATCAAGCATTTTTTTTTTTAAATATCCATCACAACTGACAACTAAACAACATTACTTTGTAAGCCCTTGCACATGAAAAAAAGTCCAGAGAGACGACGGTAACATTCAATGTCTGGAATTTTCACCTAACAAAAAATTAATTTAAAAAAAAAAAATGCAAATTTGCCGTCAACAAATGTTAGGTAACAATTAAACATGCTACAACACTGATAAAAATAACTTGTTAGTTTAAGTATATGCATATATTTAAGGTTGGGCTTATAGTAGATAGAGCACTGAAAGCATCTCAATTTTCACACACCAATTAATCAATTAAAACGCACGGAGGGGACATTATCAAATGGACTAGGATCAAAACCATCTCATTATCACCACTTATAGGCAGATTTTTTTTTTTTTCGGGTAAATCCAGTAACATGCCATTAAATAAAAAGCAATGCTTCCTACACACCTATCACTGCACACAAAATGGAGTTGGTGCGTTGAATATCAGAATACTGGTAGATGAAATTTGATACAAGATGGAAGAATGGATTGCCATGAAATATAGGGACATTTATGAGGACATTTCTTGCAAGTCTTTTTGTCTTGTCGACCCCAATGCAATGACTGATATAATAATACTTCAAGACTTTCCAACCTGTAAAATTAGTCTCTCACAAATTGAACTTAAGCCTATGTGAGAAATATACACATGTCAGCATTTTATAAAAGCAGCAAGGTCAAAAACGTTATTATATAGGTGACACTATATATAGCACACAGTTGTGGTTAATTAAAAAATGTAAACAAAAAATTACAAAAACAGCCAACACTAATGTACAAATCCCCTACCCCCCCCCCCGAACAAAAATTAACCAAAAAGATGCTGTAACACTTGTGTTAGCAAAGAGGAGAGGCCCAGGCAGGGTGGATGCTATTGCTTTATTCTGAAACCAGTAACAATTCAGCATAAGTATTACTCAAGGCAGAGATGCAGTGACTGATAATTACCACATACTTTGTATTATTTCATAATTCACCATGAAAACTGACAGATGCATGATGGGGATTTGCAAGCGACTATGATTTCACTCTCTCTCTTTCTGTCTGTCTGTCTGTCTGTCTCCGAGGATGAGACTCAGTAAATAGACGGATAGTTATTTTGTTCAATTAAGCACAGCCAAACAGATTAACTTCCATTCTTTGACATCTCTCTATCTAACTTAATACATTCAAGTGGGTGAAAAGCTCTCATTTTTATGTGTAGAAAATGATTTAATCTCATGAGCAGAGGTGGAGACGGATGCGGGGGAGGGGGGCATGGTAATGTGTGGAGGGTAAATAAGTGAAGGATCACCTGAGTAACCCACAAAGACGTAAACTAAATTTGAATATCTCCATCTGTTCATGCCGAATGCCATTATACAAGTGATAAATTACTTCAATTTATATCAAATGCCAGAGTCAACAACTCGCATAAAATAAACAGATATTTTTGTTCATGACTAAAAGGAAATGAATTGCTAGGTTAACATGAAAGACTAATTAATGTAATTAAATAATGAGCTACTATACATGTCTCAGAGTTCATACGATATGTCACTTTTATTGCCAAAGCCATAAATTTTGTCATAAAAAGATGAATAATAATTTATGACCCGTTCAGAGAGGCCACAGACATGAAGTAGGAAATGCCAAGTATGGAATCAGGACATTCTTATAATTGTAACTAAGCTGGCTTTGTTTTTGTCTTCTTTTTTGGTTATCATTATTTGTTTTGTTCTGTTTTAAATATACATTATTACATTATTCATTTATTAACAAAATATCTTTTGAAATTTATTTTTTTATAAATCCCACAAAATTTAATATACAATAATACTCTGATAATCTTAATTTAGTAAAGTGCTGTAAAATATGAATCAGACAATGCTGGGAGAGGAATAGAACGTACAGTGAGTTTTGACTTCAGCGTGCGCCACTTCCTGCTTTGCATGCGACTATAGGATTTTCAGATTAACTTATAAAAAAAAATTATTATTGAGAATTTCAGAATAATAACACTTTTTTTTTTGTTTCAAAGTGTGAAAGTCATACATGTTATTGTTGTTTAAATGAAAAACAAAAAATATTGCTCAATGTTATAGATTAATATTTACCAATTTATACACTTAATAACTACTAAATTTAGAACTTTTTCTGTAATAGTTTATTTAACTTCCAAATCTAGCTGTATTTTTGGGGGGGAGATCTGTGCATTATTATTTTGAAATCATGGTATCATTATATCCTGTCCATCAGACAAAATGTCACTTATATCTAGAGGTAAAAAAAAAGACAGTTTCAGAACAGAAAGTAAATGCATATATTATTTGTATGTTGCTACAATATAAGCAATCTGCAGTGGTTGAAGGTTTTATAGACATGATTCTATCAAACTGGAAAATAAGGTTGGGGGTTAAATGTCCTGCCTCAGATCATATTACAAATACATATGTATTATAAAAACAACTGTGTTAGTGTGGGGTCACATGTATTAAAAATATATTTCAGTTCTAAAAATATATATATATATATACCTGGTATGTATGTATGTATGTATATATATTCAATTTATTTATTTTAGTGATTAAAATAACATTTAAAATAATATTTCAATTTATTTATAATTTAAAATAATACATTTAACCAATGTTTATTCAAACTGTAATATATCTATATCCGGAAACCTGCTTCTGTTCAATCGGCACAAATATTTTAACTGCATTCCCTGCTATGAAATATTGCTTCCTTTTTTTTCACAAAATAAGAATACTGTACTTACATAACAATTGGCATTGAATAACAGGAACAATTATGCAAATCACAATTCCTTTATCTGTATAGATTCAGGCATTTAATGGGTCTATAATTAACATGATGCGTGTATCAGCTGACATATTTTTACTTTTTTTTTCACTGTAACTGAAATCTGACCATGTATGTATGTCATTCATGTCAACACACAGAGAGAGGGCAGACACTTTTTACCTCGCCTTTTTTATAATCCACTGCAAATAAAATTTTGTTGGAAACCCGATATTGAAAGGAAATTAATCTAGGTAAGAGGAAATGCTTTTCCTTACAGAAGAATTAAATATTTAGATATCAACTTCACAAAGGATATATTTTATGACCACTTGTGGTCTGAAGAGACAGGCCAAATGGCATGTTATCTCTCTTTCCACTTTTGAGCACTTTCCCATACGAGATTGCCATTAACCTGTCAGCCATCCATACCCTTTCAACTCGCCATGAGTCCAAATACAAGTCACAATTGGCCATATTCATGACCTTCAAACGGTTGTACATCCTGGTACCTTCTGGGGGTACACTATTAATTAGAATTTCAAAATTATCCTTCCCCCACCCCCAAAACACTAAACAGTTGTCACTGACGATCAAAAACAGTTATCGTAAACATGACAAAACTGTCACATAATATTAGTACCAGGATGTGTGACCTTTAGGGTCATATGGTAAAACCTATTTAATAACACTCAATTTATAGATTTAGATTTCATTCACTTCAACTGATTTCAAAAATGAAAAGATAACAATACCTGGTTTCATCATTGTGGAATTCCAGCTCCCCATCAGCATCTTCAAAGTCGTCACCATGTCCTTTAGCGGTGCCCTCGATACTATGGTATGGTACAATAACAGTGCCACGGGCGCCAGATGACCTCACAACTTTAATTTCCAGCTCACCAGCGGTTTCTGCCACTTTCACCAGTTTCTCCTCAAAATGGAAGATACCAGCATGGTCATCGTCCAATATAACGACAGTAGCAAATGCTGGCTCTACTAATCGTGCTTGAGGACCAGCGTGGTTGCTCTCGAACATCCCATCCGCAGTTCCAACACGGACGTTACTGAGGCGGATATAGAAGTGTTCATCTTCTTCAAATATGTCGTCGTCGATTATAGTTAACTGGATGTTTTTTTGAGTTTCGCCAGGTTTGAAAACAAGTGTCCCCTCAGCATAGTGAAAGTCGGAGCCTGCATTTGCAGTGCCATCTTCGGATCGGTAATCAACGTATATGGTGCTGTTCATATCCCCGCCACGTCTTACTACCGTCGCATTAAAGGTACCAACGTTCTCAAACACAGTATACTCAGCAGGTTCAAAAAAGACCCTGGTGAAGTTTTGATCCTGTGGCACCTCTATCTTGACCTCAGCTATGCTAGTGCGCTTCTTGTCCAGGTTTTTCTTCAGAATATTACCTGCACCAACCATTTTACGTGTTGCTTGGATACGATAGAATGCCCTACTCTTGGTTTGCCGATTAAGAGCCTCATAATTGGCCATTTGTTCCAGAGTTTCATGGTCAGCTTCAGGATGTTTCTTTTTCAGATCACGGAGAATGCGTATAGCTTCTTGGCGACTTTCATCCAAATCTTTAATATCCTCAAAATCAAGTTCATCATCCTCAAACCGCCCACGATATTCAACATCATCATACTCATGACTCAACGGATAGTGATTGCCCCTGGACTCACCAGGCATGGCTTCCAGTCGCATTTCCCCTTTCGCATCTCGCTTTACAATACTCTTAGCTTTATATTTCTTGCGCAGAAATTTCATAAAAAACACACGAGTGTCAACCAAATATGCAACAACTACCAGGAGTGGGAAGAACATAAATGTTAAAAGAGCTTCCCACACTTCAATAATGCCAGCAGAAAATACAGCAAGGATCATGTAAAGCCAGATATAGGCGAAAAGACTACAAGTTGCCGTTACAAAAAATACTCTGAGATGCTTCAGCCTACGTACCTCTCCATCAGGAATGGCATACACACATATTGCAATAATTACGAATAAGTTAAAGGCTGCACTACCAACAATTGTGCCCGGACCAAGATCACCAGCGTGAAAACCATTGCCGATAATCTCAATCAATGAGAGTAAGATTTCAGGAGCAGATGAACCGAGTGCCATCAAAGTCAGATTCGATACAGTCTCATTCCAAATACGCACACTGACGACAACTTTCTCACCATTGGGCCTCTTCACAGTCACTTCCTTTTCCTTGGAAGTGATTACTTCGATGGCTGCCATAAAGCGATCTGCAACAATAGAAACGCCCAGAAACATGTACGCCAGGCCAGCGAAGTACACAGTGGCTCTGGCCGCCACGTCGCCCACATTCACCGGATCTGGAGTCCATTTTGGTAGAAGGACTCCTGGTTTACATGCGGTAGCATTGCGTGAACACACTTCTTCTTCTTCGCCCCCATCCCAGACTGGAGGGTACGTACTATTTCTGAATGTTTCTTGAGTTAAAGTCGGGTGAAAATTAAGAAAAGCAACCACAAGCAAGAGGGCGCTTGCTCCCACCCCTCTTGAAACTGTGGTTAGTTCAGACAGAGTCCTTGAAAGGATGGAACACAGTAGCTTCATCATTTTAGCGTATTTACAGGTGGATCATTGAAACAGAATTAAATAGAAAAAATATCTGAAAAAAATAAATAAAAGAAGAAAAATTGTTAATAATGTTTGTCTAACAGAAATATAATACAAATATATGTTTTCATGCACCAATCTTAATACGACTACACTATATAGTTGCTACTACTCGTATATATACGAGAAATAATTCAAATGGCACTATCACATACACATAGTAAAATGCGTTGAGAGCGGGGGTTAATTATTTAAATAATAATTAAATTTCACTGTTTCGCTTGTCAACAACTATCAAGCCAGTAAAATTTAATAAATATAGGAACACAAGCATTCAGTACTTTGCCGATGTGAAACATGGCCGCGATGAGTTAACGTTGACAGCGCCGATAGTTGTACTTGACAATAACAATCATTTGATAGTAAAATTGAATGCCTTCCCGTCTTTCTTATTATCTCTCCCCCACTGAGGCCAAATGTCTTTTTTTTTCAAGAAAATGGTCTGATAATTATACTCAACTGTAGCAAGCGGTTGGTATGTCGACTGACTTGAATAGCGTCACTAGCGGGACATATAGGGAATTCCACACAGTGTTGTAAAATGTGTGTAGTCCACTTGTGTTGTCTCGTTGACTGCTGCTGCTGTTGGGTGTGCTCTACTCGCAGACGCGACGGAGAAAATAACAACCGAGGCCGGCCGTCCTTGTCACTTTCTGTAACACTCGGTGGACGCGGTGCTGGTGCTAGTCGGCACACATCAAACCAAGCGACGTACTATAGTGACGATCTCAGAAGATCCACGAGTAGTTGGTGAACGGTCGGTACAGGAAAAAAACGATGAAAAAGCGGCTAAGGAGCGTTTACCAGCCGCTATTTTGTCCTACATCCGCACAGCACAGTACAGCGGACAATCAAGAAGGAAAATGTTGCAGACCCCTGATTAGCCTCTGTGTTGCATCATGGGAAGAAAGTGAAATGTATTCAGTTCGCTGCGCTTGGTGGGCGTTTTCAATTTTAATTCAGTTTCATGCCGGAATTGTTTGACGTCACTGCATATTATTATATCGCTGCCGCCGTTCACTTATATGAAAGGGACGCTTTGTCTGTTCTTTTATAGACGCACAGAAAGCATACTATATTGATGTTTTCGAAACACTTGTTTGCATGGTCTTACGAGGGGTGGATGTGTGGCTCAGATTTGCGGAAGCTGCACAGAAGTATATTCGATGTTCATGGGGAAAAAAAGCTACCACTGTTGTCACGCACTAGTCATTTACAACCTGCCCAGTGGTCATGCAGGGTTGTTGTCAAGATGTAATCGAAAATGTTGCTTCTACCGTACAGTCACGGAGGCGAATACAGAGGGGGTTAGTTGGGTTCGTACAAACCCCCCCCCCCCCAAATCGGAAGATTTGTATAATTCTGTTCGTTTTTTCTGGTTTATTATTTTTTTAAATAAAAAACAAACCGGGTGAAATATAATTTTGTTCTCCTTCAACCCGGGAAACCCCTCGGTCACTGTTTTTCACCCACGGATATTGAGTGGCGGTTTTGGCTACTAGACCCACAAGACCCGGGATTGGGGTGCAATTGACTGGGGCATATATATGGCATTATGCCTGTTTTAATTCGGGTTCCTGCTAGAATTGGGCAATAGTGCATGAACCGCGGAGTTTTTGTTGTCGTCAAACTCAGTTCTAAATCGGGGTTCAAAATATGGCTTTGTGCCAGTGGGCGTGTTCACACAGGTTCTTAGTACCGCTAACTAAATAGCCAAAAAAAAAAAAATATCATAAACATCAGTATTTATGTTTAGGAAATTGTTTCGATTGATCAGGAATGTGGAAATTTCTGATCGGTTTATATACCCCGGCGGTCACGGTACGTATTTTTTATTACAGTAGCTGAATTGAATGGGGGGGGGGGCTTGACTGGCATAGGTAAGATATGAGTGTTCTGCAAAAAAATGAAAAACAATCCCTCTCCTCTGATTTTTTCAAATAAATAAATAATTAATGGAACTTTCAAGACAACAAGGTCTTCAACAGTCAACGCTTTCTTGTTGTTTTGTCGTCCTGCTTGAACTATAAGTAGCTACCAGTCCTTCACAAAGTACCTATTTTTGTTTTCGCGAAAGGTATACACTATTCTGCGCGAAATTTAGAACGCACAAGTGTATCCCATGACCAGTCAAGCGCATAACAAGTTGCGCTCGTACACACCTACCGACAGTTAACGATCTGCCAGTAGTCACGCAATTTTCCAGGGGACTAACTCACTTGTATAATGAATGGGGGGTACCGCATGTTCCTCATGAACATGAAGTGTTGGCGATTACTACTACCACTATTGCACTGAAGTGCTCAACCATGAATTTAACCGAAAACCCATAGTCCAACTATCTTTTGGTCAAAAATATATGTGGGTCCCCACCGACACAAGAAGAGCTATGGACCCACAGTCTGGTCAAAACAGGTACATCTACAGTATGGTTATACTCATAACACGTTGAAATGTTTTATCGACTCTGAAGGAAGTGTGTCATGCTCGCCCCTGATATTGCAACGTGTGCAGTGTTTTTTCATTTACATTGTTTTAAAAACTATAGGACGTCTTGCTACCAGTTGAATTCAAAATTAACGGTGTTATTAACGGCCATTACATCTGATGTGTCGCGCTACTTGTGGTCTTACAATATAAACCTCGTAAATGCACACCTCTTGTTATTGTGTTTACATGAGTTATATATACCCGAGGTCAGGCTGTGCTAGAAATAAAAGGTTGATTGCAGATAAAACTATTAACAACAGGTAGCCATACACGCGTAATAACTTTTATCAGTTTATTTAATTGTCTGATCCCACATCCATTTATGACTTACTTGTAATATATTTTATTTTCCACTATTAAACAAGTGGGGGAACCAAGTTGAACAAAAACAATTGTATATTTACCCAGTACCCACGCCGACCATTGCCAGTTTAAAAAAAAAATCACCCAAAATGAAACACAATCGACACTCTCCACTCATAATCCCACTTTTCGATGGAAGTCGAAAATTGTGTACTTACTTTATACATAACCTCGCCTTGGTACATTGCGGACAATGCCGCAAATAACACTACTATAATTTGTTGTCGATGAAATGGCAAAATGTCATTCTCCAATACTTTTGTCTTTTAATCTTCATTAAAGTTGTATTTGCTCTTCGTATTATATACGGAACACTTCCCACTGATTATTTCGACCACAACGAAACATAACCTACATTCATCGTTGTAGTTACCCAAGGCGATTTTACTTTATTTTCTATTTCGGCATTATGTTGTATAACATTTCTTATAAAATGTACAAAATCTGAAACCCGGGTGATAATTACAGGGGTCAGTGAAAGGGTTTCTCTAGATTATCCAAAGAAGGAATGAGTTCAAGTTAAAGGGCGAAAGTCTGGCCATGGCGCAGCGCGTGTTCGAACTTCGCGTAAACAATGTATTTTACACGCGCTGTATAAGTCCCATATCAAACAGGGCGCAGCGCGACGACCACCTCCCTTTAACCATTTGATTAATTATACTGGTCCATGCCAGTTCTGACTGGTAAATAATACCAACTCATTTCGTTTGATTCGATCCAGGATACCAATTAAATACACAAATAATATAAAATTACAACTATATCTGAAATCATCAACATACTACTTTCTCTCAAATGGCCACAATATGGCTCCAACCATGATGCAATGTAATGTAAGCCATGAATTCAACATAATTAAATAACGAGTAGAGTATTATTATTATATAAGTTATTTATTTATTTTTGTATAATTTTAGTATATATATTCATTATATATTCATAATTATATTATACCAGTATATTGATGGTGTTAATCCATTGATTTGATTGGTCCAAACACAAAATTTGCATTATGCAATCCATGGTATATTGGCTGATAATGCACGGCTAAACCAAGTGGCCCTGGAACATGAATTGACTACAGGTTTAATACGGAAATACATAAAACCGGTATTATTTGATTTTTAGGGAAATATAGTGGTTGAATTTTAGAAGAATATTGAAAAAAATACTGAATTAAAAACATCTGAAAAGTTATATAACTATAATATTGCTTTTTGTTAATGGTGGGATCCAAGTTGTGAGCGTCGGTCGTTGGGTGATTGTCGTTCGCCACACAAACCTAAACCACCGTCCCTTAACACCGTGAGGTGCCTACACGAATGCCAGAACGCTATGTTCTCAGTGTTGTTACTTTGAGATGGATTGCGAACTTCCAACAAAGAAAACAGGATCTTTAAGTACAAGATATAATTGAGGGATTTAATGACATAAAAATGCAAAAAACTATGAGTCACAGGCAAAAATGTATGCCACCAATAACAACC